AACTAATGAAGTAATCATGACTCGAGTGCTGGCAGGGATCCAGGCTGTGTGAATTGCTGAGCTGAGTTGCATGGCTTTGTCTGCAGGGAGCAGTTACCTGGCTCCCTCCAGGGCTGCGGATTCTTCAGGTATCCCTCTTCCCGGTGAATGGTTTTGTGGGTGACCGTATCAGCATGCCAGTTGGCAGACTCAACAACTTTGCAAAAAAAAAAAAAAGGTCAAATTTTGTGTCCGGATTTTCACCTTTTGAAATATGGCAACCTTAATTTATTATGTTACTATTGTTTATTAAATTTGTATACCCATAGATCTCAGAGCGGTTCACAACACAAAAGTACAACACAAAACACAAAACAAAACACATAATAAAAATAAGAACAGAAAGAAACCCATGATCGCTCCTTCCACGACATTAAAAGGGCATGTATTCTATGGAAGAACATTCTGAGCCCTCCCAACACAGATATAGACATGGTCTCTATGAGCCAGATTAACGCTGGATAAAAACCATAATTTTCAGGCAATATAATCCAAATTCTGCATGGAGAGAAAAAATGGATTATGTAACCTGTAAATTGAATAATTTATAAATTGTATAATTTATAAATTTATGTATTGTATAAATTGTAAATTGTATAATTTATAAATTGCATAATTTATTGTGCAATGCACATTACTTTGCCCCATTTAATCTAGTTGGAAAGAGCAAAGGGCTGCACAGGAGAAGCTCTACCATGAACTCCAGGAAACTACAAACGCTTTGGCAGTGCAAGAGGAAGTTGCAGCATGTCTTTCCCTGGAGCTTTTCAAGACAAGGTTGGACACGAATCTGTCATGGCTGCTTTATGTCCAGGAAATCCTGTCTCGGGGAGAAGGAGCTTAGCCGAGATGGTTCCCCGGGTTCCTTCCAACTCTTAAAGTTTTTTATGGTTCAGCAAAAGTCAAAGAGCTCAGCAAAAGTCTTGCGGGCCTAAAAAGAAGGCTTCCTCGTGCCCCTGCTTAAGAGCACCAGATCTTTATGCTACTGTTGTGGGCAGACTAAGCTTGTGGTGAACTCTGTGGGAACACCTCCCTTCTCTTGTGGCAGCGAGCTGTTTAAGGAAGGCTCCCCAGGTTAGCAGGAGCAGCAGTCCAAGTCGATGAAACTCCTATTCCACTGAAGTCCTGGATATTCTCGTTGGCTGGCCAGTCTTATGTTCCAGATGTGGGTCTTGGCCCCAGAGGGTAGTGAGGCTCTGGTCAACTTGAGAAGCAGAAGCTCATCCACATTTCCATTTGTGCTGCGATTTCTAGGCACAGGTCTGTGATTCAGAGGCCTGGGTCTGGGCAGTTTTGTGTGTGTGCCCACCCCAACAATTTCCCCAGGAAAACATGCTGTTTACCACTGAATTGGAACAAATGTCAATTGAGTTGTCCATACTCCTTAAGGCCCACCTGCTCCCATGCCAACCTTCCCAAATCTTTAGCTAAGCTGTTTCTTCAGGTGCCCCAGATACTGGGGGAAAGGCAGGTGGCAACCAACACCTTCCCCAAAGAAGTATACAGTCATACCTCAGGTTGAGTACGCTTCGAGTTGAGTGCGTTTGAGTTGCGCTCTGCGGCAACCGGGAAGTAACGGAGTGCGTTACTTCCAGGTTAGTAACGGAGCGTGTTACTTCCAGGTTTTGCCGCTTGCGCATGCGTAGACGCTCAAAATGACGTCACGTGCATGCGCAGAAGCGGCGAAAAGCGATGCGTGCATGTGCAGACGTGCCATCGCTAGTTTACGTTTGCTTCTAAATGCGAACGGGGCTCCGGAACAGATCCTGTTTGTATCTAGAGGTACCACTGTATCTGGTCACTTTGGGTGCTTCCAGAATGTCACCATTTTTAGGTGGGATTCAGTTACCAGCAAATGCAGGTCGTGCAATTCAGGTTTATTTGGAGCTCTTGCGCAACAGACCTGCCCCCCCGAAACTCCCCCAGCCTTTTTGCAGTAAGCAAGTGGCGTAGCGTGGGTTGTCAGCACCGGGGAAAGGCAAGTAATTTGCTTCCCCTAACCCGTGATTTGCCGGCCCCCTAACCCATGGATTTGCGCCCCCTAACCTGTGGATTTGCCCTAACCCATATGTTGTGCCGGTGCAGCGGCTCCCCTGCACCCCCCACGCTACGCACTGGCAGTAAGGAATGGTGATGGGGAAAGGCCACTGGAAAGTGTGAGATAACATTTGCTTAATGCAACATCATCTATCTTCCCCGGAAACAAATAAGAATGAATGCTCAGTAAATAGCTGTCACCTCTGCTCAACCTTTGTGCAAACACATCAGGATGAATGCTTAATAAACAGGTTGTCTGAAAGTGACCTTAGGCACCAGGTTAAGGTGTGATTGTTCTTTCAGGCATTTTAAAGGATTTTATACTATGTTAAGTACTGGTGTGTTTAATGTGTGTTTGCTTTAATGTTCTGATGTATTTCATTTTGCTATTGTTGTTTTAAAGTCTTAAACTATATTGTAAACGTCTCTGGGATAATTTTTTCTGAAGGTTGGTGTACAAATATTCTAAAGAAAATTTAAAAATTAGGACTCTGCACATTATGTGATCCTCTTTGTGCATATTAAAAAAGAATCTGGAATTTGTGTGAAATCTCCATGCCGTGTGTATACACAGTGAAGAAGCTGCCTGTAGGAGGAATCCTGTAGGAAGTGAAGCAGCACTAAGTTGCAGAGTTTCACATGGTGCTAGTAATATTTACACATCACACAAAAGGAACACACCCTCAGCAGAAGAAAACAAAAGAGCTTCTCTTTCAGAAGCAAGAAGCACCACAGAAGGACAAAACCCACAATGAATGCTCAGCGGTTTATTCAGGGATTAAGCGCTGTTATGTGTTCATTCCACTCAAAATGTGCCAACCTGGTGCCCTTCCACAGATGTTTTGCCCTGCATCTGCCACCAGCCTCTGCCATAATGGCCATGCTCCCATGCTCCAGCCCCCATACGGCTGGCTGGGGCTGAGGGGAACTGTAATTCAGAACTTGGAGGCGGGGGCAGCAGGCTGGTGAAGGCTCCTCTTCTTCATTTAAACACTTCTTCATTTAAAGCAGGGATTCCCAAATGGTATGCAAATAGAGGGGCTGAAGGGTACCTTGAAACATTATGGATGAAGACATCATTTTGTAGAGCAGCGGGTTCAATTTCAAAGTGGCTCAGCTCCATTCAGTTCAGGCACAACACCTTTTTCCATCATCAGGGTCAAACTAAGAGGGAGGGGGAATAATACTGCAAATTGTCAGTCAAAGCCAGCTGTGGCTGGTGCTGCTTATGATGCTTGCAATCTGCCCTCATTCCCAAACTCCCAGGACAGCTTTGCATATATAAAAGGAAAAGTTTCTCTTTTTTCCTAGGAAGAAGCTGAAGGGTGGGCCTATAAACAGATATCATTCAAGTGACACTTTAAAGGCAGGCAGCTGGCTTATGAATTGGGGAAAGACAGAGCCAGTGGCTGAATCAGTGCTCAGTTTGCTGCCACGTAGTCCCATTGCGGCAACTGCGAGCCCGAGAAGAAGCCAGGCTCACACAAGGACTCCTGTACAGTGGTGCCTCGCAAGACGAAAAGAATCCGTTCCGCGATTCTCTTTGTCTAGCGGTTTTTTCGTCTTGCGAAGCAACCCTATTAGCGGCTTAGCGGCTTAGAAAAAGGGGGGGGGAGTGAAAAAAAAATCGCAAGACTAGCAAGACGTTTCATCTTGCGAAGCAAGCCCATAGGGAAAATCGTCTTGCGAAGCAACTCAAAAACGGAAAACCCTTTCGTCTAGCGGGTTTTCCGTCTTGCGAGGCATTCATCTTGCGGGGCACCACTGTAAAGGCTCTGTTTGTATTAGGCCTTCTTTCACCCTAAGCCACCATATTGGCCACCATAAGCCACCATTATGATGAAGGGTGGTATATAAATCTAATAAAATAATAATAATACAACCCAGAATACGGGAAGAGGATACAACTGTAGTGCTAACATAATAAGAGGACAGTCTAAATTTAATTAGTAAAAAGAAAATCATCCAAAAGAATGCTCACAGAGTGGCTAGCAAATTAATTAAAGTGGGAGGCAGCGAGGGATAGAGCTCTGCCAATGCTTTAGCAAGAGGTTTGTGGTTCACTCCTAAGCGACACCTTTGCATGGTGCTGGTGGGCTCTGTCCAAGATGGTTTCATTGCCTGAGAGAAAGGAAACCCAAAAGGCCACTCACTCATATGGGGCACAATCCACCCAGTGGTTCTCCTGACACAAATCTCATGGAGTGAATGAAACCTGTGATGGGAGACTGAGGTCTCTCCAGACCAGTGGGGTTTTTGTGGGTGTATTCTGCAGCATGTCACAGATTCAGTAATAGTGCATGAGTTGTGAATTTATACTGGACCACCCACACATCCTCCCTCTTCAATCTCTGCTCTGTGATGCTTCCCCAGTGTTACTATACTGTTGCTGTCCAGAAGGGAACTCTTGTGCTATAGCACAGCAAAAGCAGGGCGAATCCTGTCCCCACCTGAATATCTGTGGTTATGAAAAGTTACAGGATTCTAGCAGGAGGTTACGGGGCAGGTGCTGATTGGAGGCAAAGCAGAATGTTCATCCCAAAACCTTTGCAGACTTAAAAAGTGGGGTTGCATATGACTGCCCCAGTCTCCATGAATGCCCCATGAAAAGGATATCTGGAGGGGCCCTGAGAGCCTTGAAGAGAGAGAAAAAGAGTGGGGATCCTTAGGACTGATCCAAAGGGCACTTTGGCACCTGAGGTATGCAATCCAAATGCTCCTGCCTGCCCTTGTTGGGATGTTGTTGGTTTTTTTTTTAAAAAAAACAAGTAATAATTCCATTTGAAAACAGAAACTTTGCTGCCCTTTGGCAACATCACGAATCTGCCACCCTCTTGGCAGAGCGGGTCCATGGCATGATGAAGGAAGGGAAGGCTTCTTGGCATGGGACTGGAGAGGCTGATGCTTTCTCGTCTTTCCTCTAGACAACTGCGCAGGAACCTGAGTCTCTGTTTCATTACAAAGCTGCTGGGAAAGATGCAGACAGCAGTGAGCAATGAGGTTAGTGTGGGGAAACGTGGGAAGAGGGTGAACGGCTTCCAGGTCTGATGATGCTTTCCTGGGATCCTTCCATCATAGAATCAAAGTGTCACAGAATTTTAGAGTTGGAAGGGAGACCAAGGGCCATCTAGCCCAACCTGCAACGCAGGGATCTCAGCTAAAGCATCCATGGCAGGTGGGCATCCAATCTCGGCCTATAAACCTCCCAGGAAGGAGAGTCCACCACTTCCCAAGGGAGACCATCCCGCTGTCAAACAGCTCTTCCCGTCAGACGGTTCTTCTTGAGGTTTAGTCGGAATCGCCTTTCTTGTATAGGAGCAGCTCCCTTGGAATACTGGCTATGGGTTTTTCTGGGAGCATGGCTGGCAGGGATATTGCATCCTGTTTGTGGATGCTGAAACATTTGTGTAGACCAGCAGTTGTCAAAGTTTTGCCTGTGAAAGAGGCCTTTCTATGTCTGTGTGACTGTCAGTGAGTTGTTGCATGCCTTTCTCCAAGCTCATATACACATTTTGGGGTGCAGACAGAGTGCCAGCCAGGCTTACAGGGCCCCAAGAACTCCAGGTGTGACTTAGAATGCATTCAGAACTCCCCAGCAGGCTGAGCACTGCAGATGTGCACGTCTGAGCATGTCTACCCAGAAGGGGAAGCAAAGCAGGTGTAACAGAGGGCAGCCTGGCCCTGGCACAGAAGGAGAGCCACATTGTGCCCTGCAAACTCCCTGTCAGCAGAAGGAGCCTTTGCAGATCAGAATTCTGACACACATTACTGCACGAAAGGACAAGTCATTTTATCTTGAGGAATACATTCCTTGGGGGGGGGGGGGATCTGCCAGGAAACCACATGCTGGTATTGGGCAGGCTGGGGCCAGAAGTGGGCAGGACACCCCTTTTCTCCCTCCCTCGTTCTCTTCTTTCTCTTCCCCTTCTCTCTATTACAGCCTGTGTTCTCCCTGTCCCTGCCCCTCTGCCACCGACTTCTCCCCGCTCTCTCAGCCTCTCTCTGCCACCTCCTTTTCTCTCCCTCTCACTTCTCCCATTTCGCCCACCCCGGAATTAAAAAGGTGCACCCAGCCCCTTCAGAACCTTCCAAGGTGGCGCACCCTCTAAGACATCTAGAAACCATCGTTTCCTCCAGCAACTTTTCTGCTCTCATCTGGGTTCCATCTCCACGCCCCCCCCCCCACCCAGGGCAGAGGAAGGGAGGAGAAAGGGAGGAGGTGCACACAGTGGTTTTGTGACTGCCATGTGTGACGGGGTTCCAATCCTTCCTGGCTTTGATTTCTCAACTTTGAACGCAATGCCAGAAAATTAATATAGCTGCTTGCGTCTGGGACTGATAAAGGCTGATGGGATCCCTACAGAGGAAAGCGACACGACAGCAAGGCCGCCTGCTCTTAGCATCCTTTCCAGCAGCATGTGCCCTGCCATCAGCATCTCCCGCACATTGCACTCTTGCGTAGACAGGAGCATGTGTATCTGTCATACATGAGGGGCCAAATAGTCGGATAGAATGTTTTCAGTGTCAAGAGTTTTGATGAATATTTATTTATTTATTTATAAAAGTATTTATATAACTACCCTCACAAAAGGATATCAAGGCCACTGGAAAAAGCCCGTGGGTCTTATGCGCCAGTGCCATAGATGCACTGCTGGGAATCCTGCTGCCCCCAAATTCATTTTCTCCTCCCTCCATATGCCTCCTGGTTAGCAACCAAGCAGGGAGGCAGTAATCAGAAGGGCTGGGTTTGGGGCCCAGCCAGGATGCCTGTTGCTGAAACATTCATAGAATTGTAAAGTTGGAAGGGACCAAGAGGGTCATCTGGTCCAACCCTGTGCAATGGAGGAATCTTTTTGACCAACCGGGGATTAAGGGTCTCCTGCTCTACTGACTGAGACATTCATGCTGGTTTAAAGCAACCTTCCCCACCCTGGTGCCCTGTCTCCGGCTGTTTTGAACTACAGCTACCACCTGCCCCAGCCAGCAGAGCCAACGTTCAGTAAGGATGGAAGCCAGTACTTCCACATTGGCTGCCCTGCTTTACAGGAAGCTCTGCACCTCAAGGAGCTTTCGGTCGACGTTTTGGCAGGAGGGGCTGGTAGAAAAGCAAGAGAGAGAGAGAGAAGGGGAGTCACATCCACAAAGGCAGTTGCACATTCTGCTGTGTCTTTGCCTTTCACCTGCTCATGCCCGGTCCTTGCAGCACTCCATCGCTCTTGCTTCCCATCCTTCTGTGTCTTCCAGCCGAACTCTCCCTACCCAGTTTAAAGAAGGCTTGCAGGTTTCCCAGAGGCGCCTGGTTCGCCCCTGTGAGGACAGGAGGCAGAACTAGGTGGGCCCTCTTTAGCCTAATCCAGCAGGCTTCTCTTACGTTCTTATGATCTTAAGCAAGCTGAAACATTTTTTTAAAAATCTGTAACTCTATTTGAATGATGCAAACTGATGAAGACTTGACAGGATCACAAAATGAAGATAAACTTTTTTCTCCTTATGAGCAATACATCAGCCCTTTCCCACACATTTCTGTATATTAGGGGTAGGCAACTGGAGGTCTAGCAACTCAGTCTGGAACCCAGGGCTTCCCATCTGCTCCCCAAGAGGACTCAAAGAACCCTCACAATGTATCTGAGGTGCTAGACAAATGACTCTTCAATCCCCCCCCAAGTCAGTGAACAGCAGTTCCCTCTCTTAAGGCCCTTGAGCTGCCCTTGCATTATGGACAAGAGTAAAAGGTGAGGTGCCTAAGATTTGGGGGGGGGGTTGTGTGCTACCCAGGCATCTCTTGCTGTGCACCAGGGGCAAAACTAGGGTTTATTTCACCAGGGTCAAAGACCCAGTTTGGCCTCCCATGTGCATTTGTGTACACACACACACACACACACAACACACACAAACACACACACACACACGCTAGGAGCCTCAATGGTACCCCTCTGGAGGCTTTGCCCAGGGCAAAAAACCTGGCTATCCCCCCTGTAGCCCCCTGCTGTGCACCAACTTTTACCAACATTGATGCTCTGCACATGTTTTGGACTACATCTCCCATCGGCCCCAGGTTGGTAAAAGTTTTGTGCACAATGGAGAGGAGAGAGTTAAGGAGTCCTTTGCATGCAGCTTGGGTTGCAAGGGAATGACTTGACAGACAAAGCCAGCTCTGGCTTTGCTTCCTTCAAAATCAACCCCCATTTAAAAAAATTAGTTGACGTCCAGAGCTGTATACTTTGTTTTCTGCTCCAGCAATTGAATGTAATTTCGAAATTGCCAACTTGGCTTATTCCAAAGCCCATCACAGCAGAAACTCCTTTGGCTTCTGCGCTTTTGCGCCGAGAAAGGCGTGCAGGTGGGCGGCTTATTTTTGTATATTTAGCTCTATATATGTTTTGTGATTCATCCCAGCAAGTAAGCTATTGTTTAAATATTCTCCAAGGCTTCTTTTTAAGGAAGAAGAATAAGCAATCAGCAGGCACAATGGGGAGCGATGGGAATGGACGTGAGCGGAGAGGAGATCTGACAGATTGCTTTCCCTCTCCTCCTCCCCCCACCGCCCCCTCCCCTCCAGTGCTCAGTTGAAATGAAATTTCTGCTGATTTGTTAACATTCAAACCCACAACGAGGTTATGCAGAGTTAGAAGCACTTGGGAGGCAGGGAAAGAGTGCACACGGAAGAATCGCTTTTACAAGGGCAAGTCTGCACAGGAGCTTGGCAGGGGCAGTGGGGCCCCAGAAGTGCCGACTCAGCCCATCCGATCTGCGCAAGGCGTGCTGCCTCAAGGCTCGGCCAGGGCAGCAGGCAGCTGAGCCGGCCTGGAAACAAAGCTGCACTCAGGCCTGAGGCAGCAAGCAGGCGCTTCTAACCTGTTGGCCAGGCAAGAGCCAGTTTACACCTGGCCTGCCCAGTCCAGTCTGGAGGCCTTATATATGCCGGCCAATCACAAGCACAGATGTGTGTCACATTACCATTCTTTGAAGAAGGACTTTGTGGCTTGAGCACACGCAGTCCTTGAAAGGACTACCGGGTTCCCAACTCAAGCCTTAGAATTTTGGACTTTATCAGGGATTAGCAGTGGAATTGCCAAAGTTTCTGAGAAGCTGGATCAGTTTTGTGACTCTGCTTAAGCCACCTTTTCCAGTTTCCACCATTTCAAGCTTCTTGCCAATTATTTGTTTAAATGCACAGTCTGACCTGGACCTATGATGTTATTGTGCATTCTTCCTTCCTGGAGCCTTGAGAAATTCAGGGTGGCCTTTACAAGGCCAGCTTGAAGAAGGATCAGTATTGACTTATGGTATACTGAGTCAGCAGGCGTTGTGGAGGTGCAGAAACAAGCACACTTTTTATAGGCAGCTAAAAAAAATGTACTCATCAGCATGGCTGGATTATGGGCTGAGCAGAGGAAATAATTGCAACCAACCCCCACTTAATATCTGCATGCCTTGTATTCTTCATCCTTGTCTTGAACAAGCAGCAAAGGTTTAGGTCTGATGATGACAGTAATGAGATACGTCTTGGTTGCTAAAAAGACGGATTAAGTTGCAGGGGAAGAAATAGTATATATCACCCATGTGGGCTAATTAATAAAAGAATGCGCTGGGTGCCTACATCTGAAATGTGGGGCAATCAAACTCTAGTAACAGAGCCAGAGTCCCAGCAGCAAAGTTTTAGACCACAAAAGCAAGCAACAGTATAGCCTAGGAATATAGGCTGTTAGATTTAACCCATTTACAGCACTTCCCCATTTCTACCCTTCTTGCAATGAACAGATCACACCATTAGCAAGTTTAAATGCATTACTTACAAACTCCAGAGATTAATGTGTTATTCCATGCAGCAGCAAGAAGAACACAGGTAGAAAAAAAATGTTTTACAAAACACAGAAAAATACTTCTTGGCACACAGTCTGGGCTTGAAGCGCAGTGTTGTCTTGGTCAACTTTAGAATGAACAAAGAACCTTTACTTCCATCTTCACCAAAGGTGAAGGGGGAATAACCCCTTCATGCA